TATGTTGAGTTATGCTAAGTCTAATTAAATCTATCAAATTCAATATAATTTGTACATACATATATACAAGGTACGTAAAAACATCAATCACAAATTTTAATTTAATAAAATCCTTTTTCACAAAAAATTTTTTTTTTTCGAAAGAAACTAAAATTAAATTCAACCAGTTTAATATTTTAATAACCTAATCAAATAACCATTTCAAAAAATCTTATAACCAAATCAATAATAATTAGCTCCACAGGTGCTTGACAAGGTACAATTGATATCCCATCATTTTTACTGCAGTAAGTTTATAAAATCTTCATTTTGTATTCAATTTTTTTTTTTCCTCTCCTTTAGTATGTTAAAATGAACAAGGCTACAAACTCATATAATTGATTTTTGTGTTTTATTCTTAAATTATTAACAGAATCTTGAATCTTTGTGTTCGTTTTCAATTTTTTTTTTTTTTCCTTCTTATTTCTTGAGTTGATTTGATGATTTTCTTAAAGATTGTTACGACCCTCATAACGTCAACTTAAAATTTTCACACTGATCAGAAATATAATAATATCCAAATACCCATATAATAATATTTTATATAGATTGTAGACTGGTAAATCGAGAAGATTCGTTAGGATCTGACGTTATTGATTATAAATGATAATAATAATAATAATAATGATGATGATTTTGATATTGATAACGATGATGATGATCTTCTCTTAATCCCTATTTTTTCTGGACAATTCAGATATTTTTTTTTTCATTTTGGATTTTTTGTTCTGTTTCTTTGAAACAATTACAGGAACCTAACAAAAGTCAAAAACCTTTAAAATATTTTTTATGCTGTGTACACACATTTGTATTGTATTTTGTTTCCCAAAAAAAAAGAAAACCGTTCTATACATATATAGATGAATTTGTAGATCTTCAATGGGTATCAACTTTTTTCCTTAAACTTTTTAACTTTAAATACTCAACTTGAACATAAAGGACAAAAATTAGAGGATAAATATTGAATTTTTTTTTTCTTATACCATTTTTATAAAGTTTTTTTTTAGTTGTTTGTTTGTGATGTCCAAAATTACCGCAAGGACCGAACAGCAATTCACAAAACAATCAAGAACTTGGAGAAAAAAAAAGTCAGTTTGAAGATATTTACAAAAAAAAAAAAAAGAGAAAAAGAGAAAAGAAAAACAATAAATAAAGAAAAAACAAATGTTAAACGACAACAATGAGCCTGGATGAAGAGAAGATTTTTAAGGTGATATCTTGGAATCAACCGGTGATTTTTTAAACGGCGGCAGCATAAATTGAAATCATTTTTTATTCGGTTACAAACACGCGTACATATGTGTATGTTTATTGTATATTTTTATATATACTCAATATTGTAACATTATGTATGAATGTATGGTGCATAAACAAGAGAATTCAGATTAAAATTTTGAATTTCAGAAAATATATTGGTAACTACATACTAAACGTAATATAAGTTCTTCTGTTTTAACCAGAAAGAAGGAGAATTGGCAATAACCTTTTGCGTAACTTTCCTGATTGATTATCATTTAATATATTTTGTTCTAATTAAAGAAGTAGGCATGAAATCAGAAGAAATAATTAAAGAATAAGTTGAAATTCCTTGTTAGTAACAAGTTTTCAATTATCTCCTTAGTAACTTAAGGAATCTCTTTATTAATTCCAATTTTATTTAATTTTAAAAGCTATTAGAAGAAGTCTTAAATTTAATTGGGCAATTGTACAAATAAGAATTTGTAAGAAGTTTCATATATATAAGGCCCATTCAGAAACACAGTTCATCGCATTAAAATTGAGCAATATTTATGCTTATAAACAAATGTTGCCAATCCAGTTCCATACAGTGAAATTGTTTTTTGTAGCGTATAGTTAAATCGTATGAGCTGTTTTGTTTTTATAATCAAAATCATATTGCATATATCTACCACGATGTTTTTGCAGTATTGGGATTTGCAGTTATTGCTTTGTAGTATTGTGTTTATAAATTTAAAATGACGACCAAAGAAACTGGAATAATTTTCGATGCTTTTGCAAATCCAAATTATAGAAATGGTCCAAAGTCTCAATTCTGATGGTTTTTTTTCCAAATGGTCCAACCCGCTTACATTATATTTCATCTATAATCGAGAAAATTTTAGAATATAATTGAAAATATCAGAAGATCATGAATGAAGAATCAAGTAACGAACGAAAATTTAAAAAATAAAAAAAAATAAAATAAGGAAAAAAGTCGATTTGGATTTCAGATTTTGAAAAAGATTGGCTTTATTGAAGAAAACAAAACAAAAAAAAAATTGTTCTGTTTTTTTTTTTCAGAAACTTTAACAATATTAAAAGAATGCGAAGGGATTATTGTCCTTTTTTTTTATTTTTCCTTTGAGTTTCGATTTGAGTTTGTTTAAGTTGCTTTTATCATTTAATAACAAAAGACTTATTTTGATTGTTTATAACTTGTTAGCTTTTTGTAATTTTGAGAAAACAGATCGATCAATTTCAGTAAAATTAAATAAATGAACAATACCTTTGCAATGTAACAAACATTTTTTTTTTGTATTTGGACTTGATCACAATACTCCAATTTTCCTTTGATCAGAGAGTCAACATTATGTGATTTTTTTTTTTGTATTGTAATAAAAGATCCTGGATTTTTCGTCCCGACAAAAATATTTATCTTGAATTGTCGAGTAGTTGCAGCATAAAATCATGTAATGATGTAATTTTTGTTTCAAAATTTTATTCGAGATTAAGATGCTTTTTATTTAAATTACTTCCTAACAATTCAAATCTTGCATTGTTAATTTATAAGCGGCTTCCAAATTTTTTAATTTTTTCTGCTATAACATTTTTAAATATTTTGTGAGAGCCGATATGACTTCGGATAATTCCTGAAAGCCTTCACAGAAATTTGGTAACTTTATTAAAAATAAATTCTTCTTCTATTAATTAATTAATGAACATTCTGATATTTGAAGAAGAAAGAAAATGTGAAAAGAAAAGAAATAGTTTGAAACATATTTAATTAAAAATTATTTGCTAAGTTCCTGTTGCATACATTTAGGAGTAATATTAGGAAAAAAAGGAATAAAATCGAAAAAATCGTGGAAAACAGGAATTAGTTTGGATTTAGGCTAATTTCAGAGTCAAGTATAAGATGTAAATCGTAAACATACTGCATTTGCGGAATTCCCAAATTTTTTTGAGTTTCAGTATAATAATAACATGTCGAAAATTAGCACTTGTTGGATTTTGATAACTACATATATTTGAACGTACTTCATTTGAAAAATTAACGAGGCTCGTATATTTTCAAAGAAATTGTAAAAGTACATTTTTAAAAAAATTTTTGAATATATACATGCAGAGAGACATGTAGGACGGACGAAGAAATCCATTAACGCAATTTAGTTTTTAAGTTCCTTTTGGCAACGATTCTAATTGAAAAACTTTTCAGGCCAATCCGAACACAGAAATAAAACCTCTACTAAGGACCAACTTCAGTTACAAAAGATCCTCTATCCTTCAGTCCTTTACACGTCCTCGAGTCGAATTTACATTTTTTAAGGTGTGCATTAACCAGAGGGTTTCTAATTTACATAACTTTTGAAAAAAATATTTAAAGGACTTTATCCCAATCTTGTAAATGAGAATTTTACAATTTTAAAATAAACTTATAAGAATATTTAGGAAATAAATTTTGCGGTCTGCTTTTTATATAATTTTTAATGTCTTTTTTATATGAAGATGCAGTCTGGTTTAATTTCAATTCCTTTTTGCCTTAAATTGAATCCACTGCTTTTCAATACCTATGCAATACAGCAGACAATTTCACAAGAATATGTGTATAAAAATCTCAATTTCTTAATCCATGAATGCAATTACTCGTCAACTTCATATATTTGTTCACCAATTTGTTGGCCTTATTAAAATTCCAGTTTGGAAATTATTACCTTAGGTATTTTTTCATGTTTTATTAAATGTTTTTGGGACATACGAGTAATATTTATTATAATCTGAATTCTGTTTAGTCATAAACCAGTAAAACATTTATACGATACATACCTTATGTCTACAATTTAACTGATAAGAGTCGATAATAATAAACATTTGATAAAGAAATAATCTTGACGCGATTTGTTATCTTTAAAATAAAATTTGTATAGCTTTTATCATTTTACTTTGGTCATATGTTGCAGGTCTCTTCCATACATAAAATGAGTAATACTATAATTCTAGAAAAAAATTTTCTATAGCTAATCAACTTGTCGAAAATGATCATATTTAGGTTTCTAAAAGAAATTATAAGTGCAAAATAGACCTTAACATAATTCCGGTATAGATTTTGTGATATTAATGAAAAAGGGGTTTTGATAAAAGCAATTTTCCTTAAAATAGTTTAATTGTTTACTATTGTCTAATATTGTCTTTGATCAGTTTCCAAATATAAAATGATGACATTCTTCATCAAGCATAATTTTGCTTCATGATGAGCTGTAGCAAAATCATTAAATTAACAAATCATAGCTTATTTAGAATACCAGCTATGGATTTGATTCAGGATCGTAGAGTCTAGATGTATCATATAGGAAATCGGTAATATTTTAGTTCAATTCTTCGCATCAAATAATCACAATTTCATTTAGATTAATTGAGATTTTTGAAAAATGTCGCCGCAATTATGAAAATTCTAACGTTGTAGAAAAAGTAATTAGCTGTATCTTTGTAGAAAAAGTGATTTGGCCAAATCATCGTTATTTTCGCAATAAAAAAAGTTTCAATAATGACATAAAAAGAAGCTTTTAAAGATTTTCGTTAATCACAAAATTGATAACATAATGATAACACCGAATTGAGAGCTTACACTATTTGCAAAGTAAATATGCGAATGCCAATTAATGTGTACTTGACTTTGTTAATTTCTAATTAAATTTGAAAAAAAAACTTTAAAATTTAGTTAAAAATTTTATTTTAAAGCGTAAAGACACGTTTTTAATTTTATAAAAAAAAATGATTTATAAACATAAAATAAACTTACACGTTTTAGTTTTTACCTTAATTTTACTTAACTTTACACATATTACAAAATGTGAGGATCCACCAAGAATATCAGGCAAATTAAACATGTTTGGGAAATGGATGAAGACTCAAAAACAAAATAATATAATGGCATTTTTGGGTATACCATACGCAGAGCCACCAATAGGAGATTTAAGATTTGCAGATCCAAAGCCACTACAAAAATTAAAAGATGATTTTAATGCTACAGTAGACAGTGATTTTTGTCCACAAAAACCAAGAACAAATAAAACATTGCCAATGTCAGAAGATTGCCTCAAATTGAATGTTTATACTCGTAATAAAGATGCTTTACAACCAGTTTTAGTTTTTATTCATGGTGGAGCATTTGTCTTTGGTGGAGGACAAAGTTATTCTTATGGTCCTCAATATTTACTTGATAATGACCTTGTTTTAGTTACAATTAACTATAGATTAGGACCTTTTGGTTTTTTAAGCACAAAAACGAAAGATGCTACAGGTAACTATGGTTTAAAAGATCAAGTTTTAGCTTTAAAATGGATTCGGGATAATATTAAAGAATTTGGAGGAGATCCAAATTCTGTTACAATATTTGGACAAAGTGCTGGTGGTTGGTCTGTTTCGGCACATCTTGTTTCACCTCTTTCCAAAGGTTTATTTCATAAAGCAATAGCTTTTAGCGGTTCAACAACCTCTGCATATCATATTGATAATTTAAAGTGGACAACGATACTAGCCAAAAAAGTTAATTGTTCTAATGATAATCCAACTGAAATGGTTAAATGTTTAAGAAATGTTCCATGGAAAGTACTTGCAGATAATGCTGAGTTCAAAGAAGAAAAAAATTATTTAATAAATTTTAATATTGAAATTGAGGAGGATTTTGGACAAGAAAGATTCCTTGTTGAACATCCATCGATAACTGTTATGAATGGTAGTTTTCATAAAGTTCCAATAATGACTGGTACAACAAGAGATGAATTCGATCAACTTGCACATGGTATGATAAAAATTTTGTTTTTCAAAGAAGCAAAAGTAAAGACATGATTTCATTTTTAGATCTTGTTCTAACACCTTATTTTGAAAAGATTAATGAAAATTTTGAGGCAGCAGCACCATTATTGTTTACTTTTCAAGAAAAGACGAAAAAATCCTCAGAAATTGCTAAGAAAATAAAAGAATTTTATTTTAAGCAGAAAGCAATTTCCACGTTAAATCTTGATAAATTATCACAAGCTTTCAGTGACAGTTCAATTATACACTCAGTTCATAGACTAGTACATTTGGCTAAAAATTTTACTGATATTTACTATTACAGATTTGATTATAAAAGTCGGTTTAGTTGTGGTAATAAAGATTGGCAAAATTTCCCGAAATGTAAGAAATAATTTTAATTAATTCAAACAATACTTTTGAATAGAATCTATTTTTCCAGTTATTAGTCATACTGATGACTTACAATACATATTTGTATCATCTTGTGGCCCTCCGTATAATGTAACAGATCCAGAACAATTTATGGTGGAAAGACTTAATAAATGGATTTATAATTTTGTAAAAACTGGGTAAGATTTTTTTTTAAGAGATTATGTGCTCAATAACTAATGATTAATATTGTAATTAAGGAATCCTAATGATATTAAAGATGTTGATCCTCATTGTGGATCTTGGCCAAAAACACATAAAGAAAACGTAACAACATTATTTAATGGCAGAGAATGTTCCGTAAGAGAGGAACCATATCTTGAAAGAATGAAACTTTGGGATGAACTATTTCCGGTTGGTTCAAAAGCATTCCGATTTGATTCATTAAATTTTGCAGTTTTAGTTGGATTGTCATTTGTCATATCGTCTCTCATAAATGGATTAAAATAAAAATTGAAAACTTCAAGTATTGTAATTAAAAAAACACTTTATTCAGATTAATAATTAGTGATTGAGGAATAAAAATAAAATCAAAAATAATTTTATTTTTAACAATGATAAGATAAGCTTTATGTCTCGAATAACCGTTTATCTACAATAATTCATATCAACTATTTTAAACGAAATCATAGTGAAAATATCGAAAAGGCATTTTATCAAAGTAAACAAGCTTGCAAAATCATAACAAGTGAGAAAAATTCGAATAATAATTAAATAGAAATAATTAAAAAAAGGACTCTTAAAAATTTACCGAATCATTTTATTTAGTGCTAAGTGCGCCTTCTTTTTATAGTACAATGAAGCCTACGTTCAAAGTTGTACTAAGAATGTACTAAAATTGAAATTAAAATATAGTGAAAATTTATTCTTTGGAGTGCCATATTATTTGTTGAAATTATTTTTTCGATATTAACCAAAAATCATTATTGATCTATGGAAAATTGATCGTTTGCATGAACAATTTTATTTTGAATTTCTTAAGATTTTTTGCGATGGTCATGTATCTCGCCTTTTAAGTGATGTTTTCAATTCGCTTTCAATTATAATCACGTACAAAAATTCAATTTTCAATCATTTTATGGAATTCATTGAAATCGACCTTAGCTTTATCGACTATTATGTTCATTCATTCTTAGCCAAGTTATTTAACGAAGTCCCAACTGACTTACAATAGGGAATGATAGAACCGTTTTTCTGTTTGGTTGCGATTGAAGTAGTTGTCCAAGCGGCTGTCTTTATTATATATAAAATTTTATGGTTATTGAAAATGATATAAGGGGTAAACATGGTGCACCTGCTGTGCTTCGACAATATCATAGACGTGACAAGAGAAATGTGGTTTGATACCTACTGTATCGATAGATAGATACTATACTGATCTATATTTATAGATATTATATTGGCCAAATATTCTCTTAAATTTAGTTATAGAATTATTCGAGGTTTTATTGCAACCATCACACAAAACGAATATAAATAAATTTTTAATTACAAGTTCATAATAAAAGAGATTTACTGTACGGACTCATACACTTTGACTGATTAAAATTTAATAATTTTATCAATCAAAAATTTAATAATTTTTAATTTTGCATACGTTCAGGCGTAGGTAAATTATTATATTTATTTAAGAAAACGTAAATTTTTACTTCTGAAATAAATATTATTGGTATTGGCAGAAATTATAAACAATATTCTAAAGTTTAAATTTCTATGTTTAACTTCCGGAACATATTCGATTACGGTCCCATACTAATATATTCGATTGTGCTACTATTTTAATTTTCTATTAAAGACCTGCCATTTATTTTTTCTGATTCTGTTATAATAGAAAATAATTTGCCGAGATTATATATGTACATGCGACTAAAACAAAATTTTTTCTAAAATTAAAAAAATTTGAAAATTATAAATTCTTCCAAAATGTGTCAAGTAGATTTTAAGAAAATGTTGATCACTTTAAAAATACCAAATGAATTGATCATATAGAAATGAAAAGGAAGTCTTTAATTAGTTTTCAAATATAATTTTGATTTCGTGCCATTGTGGTTTCATTCCTGTCATGCCACACAATAAAATATATAATGTAAAAAAGAGATTTTTAATAAGGAAATAAATATAAAAATTTTTGATTTATCTATTAAGAAAAAAAATTATGTAGAAAAAAATTCTACAATATCTTAAATTTCATCAAATTGAAAATAATAAGTAAAGCACCTGTCTTATAACTTCATATAGTACCTACATATTTTTTGATAGTTTCTATAATAACATAATATACCATTCATCACACAGACTCTATATACCATCTAGCGGTTTAAGAACAATTTAAATCATTCTGAATACAAATTATTCATTTTATATTTTACTATATTTAGAAATATATAAATTATATCAGATAGATATATATGTAGTATATAATTGCTCAACAAATAGAAATTTATCAACTTGACACATGGGAATAAAGTCCCATTCTTACAAAAAACAAAACGCATATATGTAAACATAAAATGACAAATGTCAGAATGAAAAGTTTCTGAACAATTGCACGGAAATATTCAATACACTTTGGGAATTATTTTTGATTATTTCATTGCATTTGTTGTTATATTTTGTTTGCATTTGTTGTTATGTTTATATATATAGATATGTATACATTTATAATACACATATTATGAATTATATAATTCATTAAGTTTAAAAGATGTTATGTAATTTGTTTGAGTATGCAGCTAAGACAACTTATTATACATAGAATAATTATAGAAATAACAAGTAAATTGAATATTTTTATTTCATGTCCATGTAAAATACATAGATCTTCCTCTATATTTATAGATTTAAATTAATTTTTCATTAAAAAATGTCTTCTTTTTTAAATTAAGTTAATTGGCATTGATATTTTAAGTATCATTAAATATGCATGTGCATTAAAAACCTCATAGTATACAATGTACTGAGTGTGAGGTAAATGTTAAGATTTTAATTCTTATCTTTATTTAATTTACCTTAAAGCTATTATATAATAAAATATATTTATATCAAAATTATAACTCCGGAAGTGTAAAACCATTTTTTGAAAAGAATGTTCCGATGATATAAAATTTAGGAGTTTTTCTAGATTTTCACACCGAATACGGACATTTGAAATTAGTCAAATTTATAATTGTAGATATTTAAGTTGAATTTCCCTTTTATCGTGATATTTCCCACATAAGCAAAATGAATTAATAACGAGAAAAAATAGAGTTTACCTTGTCAACTTTGTGATACCCGTACGAATTTTTTATCCTGTGTGCGAATAAATATGCCATAACTGACTAAGGTTCAGACTATGACTTTAAGCTGCCGTATTCGTCATTACCATATTAATTTATGCAAAATTTCAGTACTGTGTTCTTCAAAATACTGTGTGTGCCAAACTACTATTGAAGTTGTATGGCAGCTACCCGAAGCAGTAAACCGATCATGTCCAATTTAAAGACGATTCTGGCACTTACTACAATAAATTATTTGTGAAAATTTGGTGAAGTTAGCTCAATTAGTTTTTGAGTTATCGCTGGGACGGGCGGACGGACGGACGGGCAGACAAAGCTAAATCAACTCAGAATTCGACGCTGATCAAAAACATACACTTGAGTCTATATCTAACACCGTTATTTCTTAGCGTTACAAACGGTAAGGCAAATTTAGTATACCCTTCGAACATTCGTTCGAATTATCTCTAATATTTAATTCGAATGTAATAACGCTGCTCTTTCATAATGCGTAAATGGCAACGTTCACCAATGTGAATGAAGGATAATATTTTCATTTCTTATACATGACAGATTATAATTTAATAGAAGATTGGGTTGCAGGTTTTTACGACATAAAGTCAAGTCTTATGAATTAAAGAAAAAAAGAAAGCCGACCATACTAAAAGATTTAATTACACAAGATTTTATAAATGAATTTGTTTTTTAAAACTAATGTATTTCAGTAGAAGATGTTTTTAGAGTATGGTCCATCAAAACATTTTATCACATACGGTCAATTAAACATACTACGTTGCAAAACTGTTTATTATTTCTCACTCTAAAATTTTACTTAGGAAATTCTTATTAAATTAATTAAAATCAAAAGTTAAAAAAATAAAAAAGGAAAAAATTGACAATTTCATGAAATCGAAAACTTGCAAAACCTTTTGTTGGTGTATTTAATTTAGCAATAGCTACTCTTGATATTTTGAAATGTAATCTATTATACTTAGAAAAATGTAAATTTCGCTCAGAGAGAAATTCGCTGAAAATTTTACTAGTTAATTTCGGTAGCCAAACAGAATTCAAATATTAAATTTCAAAAAATTCCATTAATTAGTTTTAAATTTCAAAGAAATTGGTTGATTATTTCTCTTAATATATGCGTAAAAATGCAAATTTGGGCCGCACTCTCTTGTCTCTTGTACCGTCAGACGAAGATTATATATAAAATTTTAAGAAAATCTGTTTCCATTTCCAGATAAAACTCGACATGCGAAATTTGGTGCCATCACATAATTTCTCTTATGCAAAGTGGCCGGTAAATATTGATTTATAAGTCAATTTTCAAAAATTTAAAAATTTTGATTTATTTAGTAAAGGTTTTCAAAAATATTTGCTCGACTAATCTCCTACATTACTAAACTTAATTATTACAATAATAATTAGTTTGTACAATATTTTAGATTGTTTATATTTAATAATACATAATTTACTGTAATTTGTTTGCTAAACAAATCATCATAAAAAATTTTTTTTATCTCGTAATTGTATTACAACAACACTGAGCAAATATAAAAAAAAAATATTCAATCGAAAATCAACTCAATCAACCAACCCTATCATATTTAGTCGGAAAATTGTCTCTTCTCTATAATAATATTTTGTCAAATATAGCAGATTAAAGAAAATATTTGAGATATTCCGCTCCTAACCTAGTATAAACAAAGTATATAATGTATACTCTCTAAACCAAATTCGACTAGAATGCGGTGTTAAATCCTAGTTAAGCTTTTTTTACTAGGAATTTTATTTACGATAGCTAGTATTTCACTTGTTGTACCTAGATTGCGAAAAAAAAGAGTACGAAATAACTGAAAATCTAGTTAAATTTTTTTAATCCATTCATAATACCTGAGATTCTAGTTGAAAAGCTGGAAATTCAGGTAATTTAGTTTCACCAGAATTCAACTAGAATTTAGTTTTACTAGAATTCAACTAGAATTCCAGTAGAACTTTTAATATAAAAATATACAAATTGTTGTATTCTAGTTGTCTTCTCTTTTATTTCTCTCTAAGTTCTCAAAAAGAGAGAATTTTTTGTTACAGTTACAGAAAACATTTCGCGCTTTCTTTTTCTAATAAAATTTCTCATAATTGATCAGTCGTAATAATAATATTATCATTTTTGATTGAGGTTGTACCATTTTTGTGAAAAAAATTTTTTGTTGTGAAAAAAAAGTGTTCTAGCATGATAATAAAAAAAATATTATAAAAAGCATTATAAATAA